GGGGTTTCACCATGTTGACCAGGATGGTCTCGATCTCTTGACCTCGTGATCCACCCGCCTCGGCCTCCCAAAGTGCTGGGATTACAGGTGTGAGCCACCGCGCCCGGCCCCACACAGACATTTCAATGTCTGATTTTTGTTTTTCACAAAAAGAGGAAAGAAATGTACATTTATTGAGCACCTTCTGCATGACAAACACTGAGCTAATTGCTTTTGGTTACTTTTATCTCATGGAACCTGTTCTTCACAACAGCATTAATTTCAATGTCCGATTTTTGCTGGGAGGGGTACTGTTATTCCAATGGTACATAATAAATTCAGAATCTAAATGTCACATTGCTTTAAGAGGCGTAGTAAGGATTCCTGCTGACATCTGACTCCATACTCTGCACCACATTATGCAATTAACAACCATAAAACCACATATATACACCATCCCTTTAGGAACATAAGAACTTAAGCTAAAATCCAGGCAATTATCTTTTAAACAGGCTTTGTGCCTTGCAACCAGTCTATGGCTAGCACGTTTACAAGGTGCCAAATAAAAGTTTACTGAATGGAATGAACACTGGTAGCTCAGCAACAGAGGAAGGAATGGTATCATCTCTACTCACTCTGCCTTTCTACATGAGTTAATATGAAACTATCACCAGGCAATATAAACAATTCTTCTTTAAAGAAAACTCTGAATCAGGAATTGGAAGAGAAAGGAATAATATATAAAAATCATTATCAATGTTCTCAAAGGGCAAGATGAGACACAGAAGACTTAAACAGAGATTTAGCGCATTCCACTCAATTACAACACTTGTCCTGTCTGACCCTGCCTTGTAACAGTTAATTATAGGTATCCTGCTTCCACAGCACAAGTTTAGCAGAGCCCTTGGTCATTTTTGTGTTTCCCAGAATACCTACAACAGGACCTGGCACTTAACAGTCAAAACTGTATAAAAATCTTTAAAAGACTGTTATACCTTTTCAGATGTATTTATCCTAAAAGCCTTGCAAGGTAAGCATAATAACTGACATATATGCATTTTACAATGACATTGGTGTCCATTAAATGCCAAGGTAAATGGCCAGGTACTCTTCTATAACACCATAGCTATCACAGGAGGCTCCCAATAAATGGTTGCTGATTAGATAAGCCATCCCTCAAAATATCATTTTTCTTTCTAACATTATAACACTATTATCTGTTACTACCAGAAATGAGGTCCTTTAAGCTGGAGCTGCAAGGAAGAAAAAAAACTGTATTGCCACTTAAGATTTATAGTTTTTGTAGAAAATAAACACCTTCCTTTGGCTCAGCAAGGTTAACTTTAAACTTACTGTAGCAGTGATTCTCAAACTTTAGTAGGTCTAAGACTCAGGGAGATTAATAAAAATAAAGTTATTTGGGCCATCATCATCCCCAGAATTTCTACTCAAGGGACCAAGAATCTGCATATTTTTATACATTACATATAATATCTATGTTTTATATATATATATGTGAGTGTGTGTGTGTGTGTGTGTGTATATATGTATATATACATACATACCAAGCACTCTCAACTGATTCTAATGTTGGTGGTCTTTAGGGACACACTGAGAACTGTATTCAATTTTTTTTTTTTTTTTTTTTTTTTTTTTTTTTTTTTTTTTTTTGAGACGGAGTCTTGCCCTATTGCCCAGGCTAGAGTCAGTGGCTCAATCTTGGCTCACTGCAACCACCACCTCCCAGGTTCAAGCAGTTCTCCTGCCTCAGCCACCTGGGACTACAGGTGTGCGCCACTAGGCTCAGCTAATTTTTGTATTTTCAGTAGAGACAGGGTTTCACCATATTGGCCAGGCTGGCCTCGTGATCCACCTGCCTTGGAGAGGGGTATCTTGCTTACGTTGCCCAGGCTGGACTGGAACTCCTAGGCTCAAGGGGTCCTCCCCATTCAGCCTCCCCAGTAGGCCTTGGCGCGATCTCGGCTCACCGCAACCTCCGCCTCCCGGGTTCAGGCAATTCTCCTGCCCCAGCCTCCTGAGTCGCTGGGATTACAGGCACGCGCCACCATGCCCAGCTAATTTTTCGTATTTTTAGTAGAGATGGGGTTTCACCATGTTGACCAGGATGGTCTCGATCTCTTAACCTCGTGATCCACCCGCCTCGGCCTCCCACAGTGCTGGGATTACAGGCTTGAGCCACCGCACCCGGCCTCTGAATCAGACTTTTAAAAACCTAAATTAATCTACCAAAATAACTGGTAATCAAGTCAATTTTTAACAATTAGGAATACTTAAAATCTGACAAAAACAATGCAAGGCTACAGCATCTAACACAGTAGGTCTTCAAAACAGAAACGTACCATGACCAAATTTCTCCCTAGATGGAGCCGCAGGCTGCATAGTCTGTTAAGTCAGGGATCTTTTAAGTAGGTACCCATATTCTTCTGTTTTAATTGATGAATTCAGCTATGGTTCCAATGTAATTTAGTAACACATTTTTATAAGTCCTATACAAATGACAATGTAAAATAGAACAGTCAGATAATTTTAAATCTAATATACAGAAATAATAATTTTTAAAATCACTGTACAAGCTCATTATAAACCTGTACCGTTTACAATCTGTGAGAGTATGGATGATTTCTCCTATTACTATTAAGACCCAACACGGTACGTTTTTATACTTCCCAAATTTTCCACAATAAGCACATTTTTTCACGATTACAAAAGTTTTGCAAGTACCTATAAGTCTTCAAACTTTCACACACATAACAGGAAAACAAGAATAACCTGTAATTGCATTTCTCAAAAACATAAATATCTGACTTACCGTATCAAACTGTAATCCCTAACATTTTTCAACACTAACATCAGAACAAATCATTTTATTTCTAAAATTTAGTAAGTATCCCATTTCCTTCAGGTACTTATTAAGGTAGCTGGCACTTAAAGAGGACTTAAAATCCTTTTGCCAACCATTCTCTGGATCTCTTTAAGTGGAACATCTTTGTACCGAACACTGAAGCATTAAAATATTTCCTCTGGAGTGTGTGTGTGTGGGGGGGGGGTGCAGACCTGTGTAAAAGACATTTTTATAACTATGAGTGTTTATCTAGAAAACAGCATCGCAAAGATGCAATGGGGCTTTCAAGGCAGACCACGCTTAAAGGAAAGATTAAATATGAGGCAGAGATGAGCCACCAGCAGGTGATGAAATTTCACCCCAAGACGCAAAAGGTTGTTCTCGAACAAGTCAGATCCACGAATGACACTCCAGGAGTACCGGGGGCTCTCTTGGTCCCGCACTCTCTGCACCCCAATTCTCACCCTGGCCTTCCTCCCCTCCCCCTTCCCCCCCACCGGGATTCTGCGGGACTCGGAATGGGACGCGGGGAAGCCAAAGCTGTTTGCAAACAGGCGTCATCTGCCTCCCTCGGGGATGTACGTACAGGGCCCGGGCTAAGAGGCTGCTGCGCTCGGCCCGGGCCCGTGCAAATCCAAAAGGCGGCCGTGCTCCTGCCGGTCCCCAGCTCCACACACCGGGCTGCGCCGGAACCGGGGCCAGGGCGAGGGCTTCCCAACGGCGCGGGGCCTAGTTGCCCCCCACGGCCTTCAGCCTCCCGGGGGACGCGGGGAGGAAGGGCTGAGGCCCCAGGACCGCGGGGTGGGGGAGGCGGCCGCAGTGGCAGAACGCCCCGTCCGCCCGGCCCGAGGGCTGCCGCCAGGGCCCCAAGAGGCGACGAGCCCCGGACCGCGCCGCGCCACACTCACCTCGAGCAGCAGCAGCCTCCGCTTCAGCATGGCCAGGGGGGTCGTCCCTGAGCCGAAAGCCTCCTCCGGAGGGCACCGACGCGGCCCCAGGCGCCACCGCGAAACCTCCCACTACTGTAGGAGCTGCGGTCGCTGCGGCTTCGGCTGCTACTGCTGCTGAGGCCCGGCGCCCACCCAGCCGCATCGGCGCCCGGGCCGCAGCAGCCACGCGGATCCCGGAGGAGCGCCGCCGAGCCGGGCCGGGGGCGCAAGGCTGCGGCGGGACGACAGAGGTGCGGCAGGCGGGGATCCTCGGCGAAGCCTCCAGCGTCGGGGTGGCCGCTCCTGCCGCCCGCGCCGCTGGGCCACAGCGCCCCCTGGACTCCACGTCCGGCTACGGCGTCGGGACTGCGGCGGCCGCGCTGGTCACGAGCGGCAGGGAACGCAAAGGCCCGCGTTCCCTGCGCGGCCCGCGGCCCGCGGCCGGCCCGGGACTCCGCTTCCCGGGAACCGGAAGCCCCTCACTTCCCACCAACCCCTGGCGTTTCCCCCCCCCTGCAAGACCCGAGCACCTTTTCCTTCTCTCCCGAAGGTACCTGAACGTTCTCGTCACTCAGACCGGCACCTGAGAGCAGGAATGTAAGGCAATCTCTTTTGTCTCTCACGGTTTCGGGGGTGGCCGGGAGACCCCCTTCTAATTTATTTATTATGTGTCTGGATGAAAGAAGAGTGAGCCAGAACAAACCTTTTTTTCAAACATACACACTTCTCTCCCAGAACAGACGAAGGAATTGTCTTTGACCTCAACTTTTTATCTACTGTGCAGATCATTACAGAAATTTTCTACAAATACCAACCAAACCCTTAACACCTAAACCACCACTCTCACAAAACAAAAATGAAAAACTATGTGTATATATATATAATATAGATAGATAGATAGATAGATATGCAGAGCCAGGGAAGAGAATAGCCAACGGGTTGTCCTGAAATTCATAAACAACTTAAAGGTAAGCAAAGAATCACCCATCTTTTACTAACACCCTCCCTGTCCTAACCTCTTGTCTCCCACTTCTCCACCCCTCATCCCAGCCAAATCCTAGTAAGGCTCTGAAGGAAGGAAATTCTTACACCATGGGGTCTATGGAATCACTCTGTTTACAGATGCCCCATATTTCATCACACTCAGCCTCTAGGGTGCAAACGTCAGAACCAAAAACAAAGAAGACTGTCAGAGGGGAAGTAGGGAAAGAAAATTCACCAAATCCTCTGATCCCCAAATTTTCCAAATATGCTTTTTTTTTTTTTAACAGAGTGGTATACTAGAATAGGTAGTGACTTTGGTTTCAGACACATACCGACACTACCAGTTCCAGTTCTGTCATGTATAGCTTTATGACCCTGGGCAAGTTATGTAACATTTTCAACCTCAGTTTTCTCCTGCCTGCCTTGCTGGTTGTTGCGAAGACTAGAGATAAAGGGGCTGGCCCATAGAAGATAATAAATGTTAGTTCCAATTTTTATTGCTTCCAGTACACCCTCACACCCTCTCTTATGCTCAATTTTGTACTCATCTGTTTTTGCTTCTCATTCATTCTCTCTCTCTCTCTGTGTGTGTGTGTGTGTGTTTCTATCGAAAGATGGATGCTCCATTCTTCATCAATCCTACTCTGGGTGAAACTTCTCTAAATTTCACTAATGGGTTTATGTAACACCCCTCCACGGAAAAGTAGAGCTTCATACACTGGATCCTATGACATTCTGTTGCACAGCAGATATCAGCATACAACCAATATTTTTTTAGGTATAAAAATATAAGGCAGTCTCACCTTACCTTAGGTCATGGCCTATTGATGATAAATAATAATGAGAAATTACAAAAGGTCTCCAGAATCATTCATTTAATAATTGAGCAGCCACCATGGAGATGTCACCTGGCAGCTCTCTTAATGAAAGCTATTCCTGTATAATCCTAAGTGTACTTTTGCCACATACTCCTGAGTCACAAAAAAATCACTATCCCCTTTCTATAACAAGAGAAACTGGGGCTCAAAGGGAAACCATGATTCATCCTCACAACGATTCTGAGTTAGGTGCTATGCTACCATCATTTTACATGTGAAATACATCCAACCTAAGGAAAAGCTGGAAGTAGACGCTGAGACTCCCTTCAGTCTCCTATCTGATGCCCCAGCAGTCCTTTCAGCAATGTTAACAAGATGCTGGGCCGGGTGTGGTGGCTCATGCCTGTAATCGCAGCACTTTGGGAGGATCACCTGAGGTCAGGAGTTACCAGCCCGGCCAACATGGTGAGACCCCATCTCTATAAAAAAATATATGTGGCCGGGCGCGGTGGCTCACGCCTGTAATCCCAGCACTTTGGGAGGCCGAAGCAGGTGGATCACAAGGTCAAGAGATCGAGACCATGCTGGTCAACACGGTGAAACCCCGTCTCTACTAAAAATACAAAACATTAGCTGGGCATGGTGGCACGTGCCTGTAATCCCAGCAACTCAGGAGGCTGAGGCAGGAGAGTTGCCTGAACCTAGGAGGCGGAGGTCGCGGTGAGCCAAGATCACACCATTGCACTCTAGCCTGGGTAACAAGAGTGAAACTCTGTCTCAAAAAAAATAAATAAAATAAATAAAATAGAATAAAGTGAAATCTTAAAATATATATATATATATATATGTATATGAAAAAAAATGCTGTAAGGATCATTTGTTGCTAAAAAAATTTTCAGTCAAGAAAAATGGGTCCTTCAACTGATTGAGATCATTAGTGCTGTAACCTAACATTAGCACTGTATTTTCCATGTACGGCCACCGCAGGAAACCTGCATTTGTTTATGAATATTCATGCAACCCAGGGCAGACCTACTACATGAACAAGATGATTCATTTGTTCCCAAGACCAGTTTCCTCTTGCTTCACACTTTCTCTCCTTGTATTCAAATTCTGTTGCTGAAAGCAGCTGCCTTTATCATCACCACCTCCTCCCTGATCAGAGTAGTCTACTTTAAATCTTTTCATTCTCTATAATTTCATTTCATCGTTTTGACACTTCCTACTCAGTTTGCCCTCTGCTCCTAAAATGCCTCTCATCTGTTTTCCTTTCTTCTGCTGTAAATCCCTTGTTCATTTTAATCCACCTTGGCCTGCTGTCAATTAATTTGACTACCTGACACTCAATTTTGCATTGATTTCTACTATTAGCTAGTGACTCTGACATGTCTCTCTGTTCCCAACGTGGTAGACCTCCCCACTTTGATTTTTATACTGTCTACATTATATAGAAAGCCAATATTCTAATAATTTTTTTTTCAACTGAGTTTAAGGTCTAGCACCCCAAGCAAAATATTCTTTGCTCTTTAAAATTCATTTTTAGGCCGGGCACGGTGGCTCAAGCCTGTGATCCCAGCACTTTGGGAGGCCGAGGCGGGTGGATCACAAGGTCAAGAGATCGAGACCATCCTGGTCAACATGGTGAAACCCCGTCTCTACTAAAAATACAAAAACATTAGCTGGGCATGGTGGTGCGTGCCTGTAATCCCAGCTACTCAGGAGGCTGAGGCAGGAGAATTGCCTGAACCCAGGAGGCGGAGGTTGCGGTGAGCCGAGATTGTGCCATTGCACTCCAGCCTGGGTAACATGAGTGAAACTCCGTCTCAAAAAAAATAAATAAAAAATAAAAAAATAAAAATAAAATTCATTTTTAAAATTCAGGCCAAAGATACCCGTTTCCTGACTTGGTGGTGAATGGCACTATCATCTACCCAGGTGCCCAAGCCAAAAATCAGATTTACTAACCCTTGCGTCTTTCTCCTGGGCAAGTAGTTACAAAGCCTGATAAATTTTACTTTTTTGATTTTTAAATTTCTCTCCTGTCCAACTCCACTGCCACTCACTTTGGTCTAAGATATATGCTCAATAAATTGTAGGTGAACTGAATGAAGAAAAGGAAGAATGAATGAAAGTATATTCTATTTGTATACAAGAATAAATACTGGCTGGGCGCAATGGCTTATGTCTGTAATCCCAGCAGGGGCACAGTGGCTCATGTCTGTAATCCCAGCACTTTTGGCGGCCGAGGTGGGTAGACCACTTCAGATCAAGAGTTCAAGACCAGCCTGGCCAACACAGTGAAACCGCGTCTCTACAAAATACAAAAATTAGCCAGGCATAATGGCGACTGCCTGTAATCCCAGCTTCTCAGGAGGCTGATGCAGGAGAATTGCTTGCACCCGGGAGGCAGAGGTTGAAGTGAGCCGAGAGCACACGAGTGGACTCCAGCCTGGGTGACAGGGGTAGACCCGGGCTCAGAAAAAAAAAAAAAAAAAAGTAAATTATAAAAGGGAGGCACAAGGGTGACACGGTGGCTCATGCCTGTAATCCCAGCACTTTGGGAGGCCAAGGTGGGTGGATCACCTGAGATCGGGAGTTTGAGACCAGCCTGACCAACATGGAGAAACCCTAAAAATACAAAATTAGCTGGGCATGGTGGCTTATGCCTGTAATCCCAGCTACTCAGGAGGGTGAGGCAGGAGAATCACTTGGACCCAGGAGGCGAAGGTTGCAGTAAGCTGAGATCACTCCATTGCACTCCAGCCTGGGCAACAAGAGCCAAACTCCATCTCAAAAAAAAAAAAAAAAAAAAAAATGGTTACAATACTTCAAAAAACAGACTGACATCACCATGAGAATCTGACTTGGGAGGAATTAGAAAGT